GGGCTGCCACAGGACCCCAGGCGCACTCCTGTGTGCTCTTCTGTTTTCCCACGGCCACTTGGAACCGTTTTGGAAGTCAGGGCAGGGGTTCCTTTTTCCTGAGGGCACTGCACTGTGAATTGCAGGGTGATGGGTTGATGGGAACGGTGAGCGGTGAGCGGTGGCCTCTGGAGGGATGGAGATGGGATGTGGGGCGCTGCAGGCAGGAGGGAAGACTGCGGCTTGCTCCCGGGAAGCGGAGTGGAAGTCACGTGTTCTATCTGGAGTGCCTGGAAGGGCGTCACTTCTGCTTTGGCCTGCTTTCCCCAGCAGGGCAGTGAGGTCAGCCTCCTCTTCCCTCTGTGTCTGCCTGGCACCCGGCCTTAAGGTCCAGGCCCTGGAGGTCAAATCCACACCACTGTCTGGACCCCAGTTTTCTATTCGCACTGTGAGAGGATGGATAAGGCGGCCCAAGCGTGCACATCTGCACTGTCGGGTCCTCAGCTTTCTCACCCGAAACATTTCGAGTGGTTTCATTCAGTGGCTCCTTTTCAAACCTTTTCCCTCCCTCTCTTCTCTGAGGTTCTGAGAGGGGGAGTGACTAGCCCAAGGTGACACAACCAAAGAAATAACAATCCAACACTCCATGGCTCCAAAGATTCTGTTCTTTTTTTAAAAATAAACACGTGTTAATAAGTGATGTGAAGACAAATGGGTGCTCACCGGGAAAAATAAAACGGAACCGATGTCTTCCACTGCACTTACTCCAGGATGATGGGAACGGACTGGAGATTGCAATGCAAATAACGAAACCTGAAACGTAGTAGAAGACCCTTAGAGTTCCTTCATAAGGCCAGTGCGGGGAAGGCCTTCCCCGCTGCTACTCAAAATACAGAAGCTGAAACAGAAAATACTGGTAATTTTCATTACGTAAAAACTATACCTACTTCCACATGGCTAAAGGACCCCTTGTAAGGTCAAAAGGCAAACGACAAACTAGGAAAAAATATTTGCAAGTCACACAATAGACAAAGAGCTAATTTTCCTATTACGTAAAGATTTTCTAGGAGATGATACGGAAGAGTCTAACCCAACATGAAAATGGGCAGATGAACCCGGACATACTAGCAATTATTCAAGCACAGCCGCGCTGTCTGTTAGAGCAAAAGACTGGAACCCGCACACATGGCTCTCAACAGGGGACTGGTTAAATAAACGGTGGTTTGTCCCTGCAACACTCGTCTGGGTATGGGTATGGAAAGCTCTCCACGTTGTGTTTTCACGTGAAAAAAAACCAAAGTGCAGAACAGTGTATAGAATATGTTACTAAAAAAAGTAAAATTGTCTTAATTGTTTATAAGTATTAACCAGTGAAGCCAGTTAGAACAAATGTTTTCTTGGTGAGAAGGTTTATTGTTATTTTTCCATCACAGTTGACATTAAATATTATGTTAGTTTCAGGTGTACATCATAGTGGTTAGATATTTGCATAATTTAGGAAGGGTTCCTCCCCGTAAGTTGAACACCCATGTGCACCGCACATTGTTACTATGGTGTATTGACTGTGCTTCCTATGCGGTGCTTTGTATTCCTGTGTGGGAAGGTGTTTAAACTACAAATTCAATTTCTTTCATAAATAAATAGTTATTAATATTATCTATTTCTTCTTGAGTAAGCTTTAGTAGTTTGTATCTCCTAAGGAATTTTTCCATTTCACCTAAGTTATATAATTTATTAGCATAAGGCGTTAATATTATTCCCTTATCGTTTTTGATGTCAGTTGGTCCTGCAGGAACAGCCTCTCTTTCATTGTTGATATTGGTAACTGTGCCTTCTTTCTTTTTTTCCTCGATCATTCTGGCTAGAGATTTATCAGCCTTTTAGTTCCAACATTTTGGCCATTTCTGGGCCCGCTTTTGTTGTCTCTTTCATCTCCTTACGAAGAGCCTTTTTTCTTTTTCTTGATTTTATCTGTGGGTGACAATCTTTGAATATGAGGCATTGTGTGTAAAAGAACAGTAGTGAGTGAGGTAAAATGTATTTATACCCAGAAATGGATGCAGTTCTTATGTTATGGCTTCAGTATAGGCCACTGGGTCAGTCTAGTCTGCAGTAGATTTGGGTTTAGGTTCTGTTGTTGCTTCTGTGCACCAGAGGCTCCAAATTTCTCCAGGGCTGGCCTGCCACTGCTTTGTGCTTAGCATGAGGCCTTGAGCACCACCAGGGTATCCTCAGTATCTGTGTCCACTGTCAGTTTTGTGTGTATGCAACACAGAAGTTATCACGTTTCACGTTCGAGCCCCTCTGGCAGCGGTACTGCTGTTGCTTGTTACCTGGTGCAAGGCTTGCGGTAGAGGCTGGGGATTCTTGGTTCTCTCGCTCCAGCCTCAGTCTTAGGCAGCCTTGTACCTGAGCCCCAGGCCTGGGACTAGCTTAGCTTTTCTGATTCTCCTTCAGTGACTGACAACCTCTGCCTTTTCTTCAGAGCTGGTGCTAGACGCAGGCAGACTTCCTGTCTTTCACCTCCGGGGGCACCAGACTCTGTCACACCAGAGGAGTCTTGGGTGTGAGTGAGGTTCCTGCCTCTCTCCTAGCAGCAGCCACCCTCTGTGTTTTATCAGTGGACACTAGCGGGTTTCACGCTCCTTGCCAGTGGCAGATGGCTTTTGCCTAGTGTCACTGCAGGGTCTGGGATAGGTAGGTTTTTCATTTTCTGTATATAACGGGTTTTTCTCCACCAGAGGCAGCAGACCTTTGCATGGTAGCAGGTCAGGGACCTGTGGGACGAGGATCTCCCACCCTAAGAACACCAGGGTGCAGATGTCTCTCTCTAGCGGCAGCCAATCACCACCTGTACTCATGCATGGCTCAGAGCTCAGATAGCTTGTCCAGGTACTCGTGCTCCACCCTTAAGCCTTGGCAGGTCCTCCTGCCTGTCCCCCTGGGGCTCTCTCAGGTCTCTGCCCTACCCCAGTCATTCTTGTGAACATCCTGTAGAAAACTGTGGGAAGAAAATTGTGGGAGTCCCTTTGTATCTGGGACTCCCAGGGTTCTGAACTGCCATGCTAGTTCACAGTCTTTAAGAATTCATTAAGGTATCAGTTGTTTTCTTCTGCTTTTGTGGCAACTTCCTCTCCCTTCTTTGTTATGTAAAAGGTGAAACAGTTCATCCTTGAGGGGTTTATTGGCCTCTGGAAATCAGTTTACTTGGTTACCTCGTGACTGCAGCTCTCTAAAGGGCTCCAAAATTAATTTTGTACATTATTTGCCTTTTTCCATCATCATGATGGGAGTGATGTTCTCTTGTGGCTTTTCTACATCGTAAATGGAAGTCAAAAAATTTTAATATGGTTTTTACTCAGTTAAAAAAAATCTCCCATTCCATGTTTTCATTTTGACTATATAAATTGTGTCCCCGATTAAATAATTTGTGAAGCAAGATGACGTTTTCTTTCTTGTACAACTTGGGTTTTTTGAAATTAATGGCTTGTTTTTATTTTTTCACTTGCAAGCTTTTTATAGGGCATTTCTTCAAATAATTTTCTTCGCTGTTCAAAGCTGTCAGATAGCCTGTCTATTCTATTCCTCCTTTTATTTTTTGAGACCTTCTTTCTGGAGCCCACTTTCTGGACTAGTGTCCCCTCATCCTGCTGTGCAGCCATCAACTTGGGCCTTCTTTCCACCCATTCTCTGAGAAGTAACTTCACTGCTCCTCTGGTACTCTATGTCTTCTTTCATGATTTACTCCCTCATTTTGTTGGAGCAGATCCTGCAGCAGCTTCCTGAGAGAGTAGGTATGTGTTTTAAAATATCTAGTGATCCTTGGCTGACCATTCATCTTTAAAAGTGAAGCTTCGCCATAAGTTTGGCCCTGACCATTTTATTGAGGATCGTCGAAATGTCAGTAGCTACGTATTATACCGTTCTTGGAATGGTCAGTCCTTCAGAGAGGAATTTTCTCCTGCCTTGGGGCATCATCAGCAGAGCCGCTGTGGTCTTCTGGAAGCTAAGTGGAAGGGGAGGTAGAGAGGGGATCTGCCTTCCTTTTTCCTGTCCCAGAAGGGCACGCCACCCTTGCCCTCAGATTCTTTATCTATGTGCACCAGGAAGTGAGCTTATTTTGGGGTGGCGTTGCGAAGGGCAGTGTGGCAAGAACGGTGCCAGAGGAGATCTGGGGACCGAGGTGGTCATTTTAAAGTCTCACAACCAATAATCCCCTTTTCAGCCACACCCTCCATCCCCGCCTTGAGAGGTGCCCGCTGCCTCTACTTCTCAGGGGCTTCAAAGTTGTGAGGCTCGAGCCAGCTGGCTTCTCACTGTCCCTTCTCCCACGCCCACAGCAGGCACTTGGAATCAACATTTTAGGGCTTGCTACGTTTATCACCTGCTTTGTGGTCTCCCGAGTTTTGCTGACGTCGCTCACCCACCATTGCCTTCCCTCCCGTTGTTGTGTCTTTGTGGTTTGGCATCTATTTTATTCACTCACTCTCATTTTGTTGGAGCTTCAGGGGCTATAACCATAAATCTGCTGCCTTTAAGCAGAAGCCTTTATTAGTTCATTTTAAAACTGAGGAAAATGAAGGCAGAGAGGGCAAGATCCTTGCCCAGAGCTCACAGTGAGTTAATGACAGAGTTGGACAGGGTTGCGTGTTGCTTGCTCCCAAGCAACCTTCCCCTGGGTGAGGTCAGGGCCATGGGGAAAGCCCCCAGAAGGAGCATCTTGGGGGAGGTTGGAGGGGCTCAAGCAGAACTGCTCGTGGCCGGTGATACCAGCCAACGGGTCAAGGATTCTAGATTCACAGGGACCTGGCTCTGGGCTGCCTCAAGCAAAGCAAGACTGAGCCTCAGCCTCCTCATCTGTAAAATGCAGGAGTAATGAGGACCAAGTAAGGTGCCGTTTGTCCTACCCTTGGGGCATGCCAGACACCAAGAAGTTAGAGGTCACTCTTGGACCTTGACGATGACAGCGGGTCCCTTTTCCAGGGTGGGAGCTGGTTGCTGGAGAAGACCTGGCTCAGGACATGAGTTCCCATGCGGCCCTTTTCCTCTGCCTATGTCTCGTGACTTCTCAGAGTAGGGCAGAAGGTAAGAGGGCTCTGCTGAGCCACGGGGGCAATCCTAGCCCAGACCCGGGAAAGGGAGTGACCTCAAACCAAGGGAGGTTGGAAGGGCCCCTTGGGGCAGCAGCTAGGTGGGCTAGCGGTCTCAGGCTGGGGTGGAAGGCCCATAGGCCGTGGTGAGGGAGAAGCAGCTGTGGATAGAGGCTGAGGTGGGGACACTTGACTCGCTCCCCACAGAGAGAGAGCAAGAAGCCTTGAACTGGATGAAGACAATGGAGACGTCCATGGAATTGATCATGCTCACTGATACTCCTGAGTGAGTTGCGGGTCCTACCTTGCCTACTGAGAGGCAGCTGTGTCTCCCAGTCCCAGCTTGCCCTGGAATCAGTGGTTCAAAGTTGGTCTAGTGTAGACCATTACTTCATTTATTCAATGTTCATTTACTGAGCACCTATTATGTGCCTGACACTAGGCTCTGGAGATGCAGGATAGATGCGTCTCTCTGCCCTCACCAAGTTTACTGCCTGGTTGGGGACCTTTAACCATGGACATCATAGAACCAGGTGCAGAATCATGGGTCTCTCTACATATTTCTTGGAAGGGGCTCTAAAACTTGGGCTGGACTCTCAGAGCCTGGGACACAGAGGCCGAGTAGCTCTGGGTAGAGGTCAATGCTGATGACTGGCCAGGGAAGCCTGGGGACTATGGGGCACTTCAGTCAGTCAACAGGGAGCAGCCAAGAAAGGCTTCCTGGAGGAGGTGTCAACAAACTGGGACATGAACGAGAGTTAATCAAGAGCAGGGGTGAGTGAGGTGGGGAAGGAGGAGTGTGCCAGGGACACCGAGTGTGCAAAGGTCCAGAGGTGGAAGTGACAGGAGTGTGGGGTCGGGGAAGCCCTGCCCACTCAGTCTGTCTGGGACCCTTCTCATCCTCCCCCCCCCGACTCCAGGTCACCTTACAGGCTTGTCCGTGGTCTGGAGCAGAGACTGCTGGATGTCAGCTTGAAGGACCACAGTTTGAGCTTGCAGACAGACACCATTCAGGCGCTGGCATTCAAGCTGGGCTGCAACTTTACTGGCCTCTCACTGAACAGTGAGAGCCAGGTCAGAGATGGCCAGGTGGTGAGGGGGCTGGTGTCTCCATCCCAAAAATCCTCCAGAGGTGTAAGACCTGAACCTTCCCCAGGATCCATCCATCCCGCTCCCGACCAACTGGGGCCCTGTTCTAATAGCTATGAGTTACCTTTTCTGTAAAATGGAACTGATGCTCCTCATGTGAATGAAGAAATGAGGGCACTTTATGGCCCTTCTAAGGCAGTGCCCCCTTCCTGCTTTTGCAGGTCTGGGGGGAGGGGTCAGGGGCAGCAGCGGGAGAGGCCAGAGAATCTGAGCAGCTTGGAAGACGCTGGTGCAATTCCTGCTGAATGCAAGGGTGCTGGGTATGCGTGGGGGGAAGGCGGTGGAGGGGCCCCGTCCTCCCCGGGGCCCGCTGCGCGGGGCCTGAGCAGCCTGGAGAGAAGGCCTGGGACTCGGGACGTTTGGGAGAAGGTGCGGCCTGTGAGGAAGGTTCTGCAGGGGGAGGCTCTGGGGAAGGAAATGCTGGGAGAAGGTGGAGAGAGCTTCGCAAGGGGCAGGGAGAGGGAAGGTGCTGGGGCCAGGCTTGACACCAGGCTCAGCAAATCGTTGGACCTCTGCAGGCCTGGGCCAGGCCCCCGCACGCCATGCAGTTCCCGAAGGAGCTGACCCAGAACGCCTGCAAGTCTCGCCGCCCCAGGGAGCTGCGCCTCATCTGCATCTATTTCTTCACCAACCGCTTCTTCCACTTCTTCCGGGTTAGCACCATGCTGGGCCCGGGGGGATGAGGGCGGGGGGGGGGGGGGGGGGGGGTTGGCGCTGGCCCTCTCCCAGGGGTTCTGCAGGTACCCAGGCCACCGCCTGCGCTCCAGGGGGGACCGGCATCAGTGGGACCCGCCCACTGTGCCACCGGAGCCACCGCTGCCCCTCTCTGGGCCTCAACCTTAGCTGAATGGTGGGAGGCGCACTTATAATGTGCAAATGAGACCTAAGGAACCTACTTCTGTACGTGCATGTCCCTGGGCCAGAGACAGACAACAGGGCCACAGGGCCCTGTCCTCAGAGATCTCTCAACCTTGACAATTAGACTAGGATCTTAGAGACTTAATTTTAGCTCAAGGTTGGTTATAACCATAGAGATACAAAGCAATGGGTGAGCCAGGGGAGGCTGTGGATATTCCCTGTGAGCAGTCCAGGAGGGCGTCTGGAGAAGGTGCCTTTTAACCTTGGCTGTGGGAGCAATTAGGATAGTGGTGAAGCGGAAGGTGCATTAAGCAGAGAGGAGGTGGAGCAGGAGGGTGGCGAGAGGACAGCTTTCCGAGTGGAGGGGCAGCGTGTGCAAAGGCAGGGGCTCGGCCCACGTGGTACACAGGAGAGGCGTGGTGCTCGTCTCGGCCAGGAAGGATGGCCTGGAGAAGTGGGGGCTCTGCGACCCTGTCCAGGTCTCCTCCTGTCCCCTCCAGGCACACCTTTTTCTTTTGCCCTTCCAGGATGACAACAAATCATTTCTGCTCCATAATTATGTCTTTGGGGCCCAGCTGAACAACGAATCCGTGAACAACCTCAGGGAGCCAATCAACATCAGCTTCTGGCACAACCAAAGTCTGGTACTTTGAGGACGCCACCATTTCTACCCCATCCCTGCCCCCCTAAGTCTGTCCTGCTGAACATTGGTTCAACCAAACTCAAACTTGTGGGACCCTCTTGAAAATGAACTGTTTTAAATCCATCATACTTTGAAAGTTTGTGCCAAAGAAATAAGGGAGAAGCTTTTACTCACGGCATTAGTCAGGATTCTTTGAATTGCACATGATAGAAAATGAACTCCAGCCAACTTAAGCACAAAAGGGAATTTATTGGCTCATGTAAATGAAATGTCCTGGGCTGGTCTCTCGCTTCGGGCACGGCTGGATGCAGGGGCAGATAGGATGCCACGATAGCTCAGTCTCTCTCCATCTCTCAGCAATGGTTTCTTGCCTTGGCTCTGCACTCTGTGGCAAGATGGGAGCTGAAGTGCTGGACTTTCTTTCCCTCTTCTCAGTGGGCTCTTTCTCATGAGTGCAAACCAGGGTCCCAGAATGGAGCCCTAAAGGCCCGCCTGTGACTGATAGGAAGCCTGGATCATCGCTGTCCAGGAGGATGGAATGTGTGCATCGGCCGGGCCTGGGTCACATGGCCCAGGGACCAAGCTGGATTTATCTGACCTGCCCTTGTGGGAAGGTCCCCAAGAGAAGTGCAGAGGCTGATAGGGGAAGCAGGCAGCTGGGCCGCCGGGTGGGCAACCCTGCAGCCCCCTCCCCTCTGCCCCCAGCCTCCCTGACAAGGCCGGGGCCTTTATGCTCCGGCCCTGTCTTCCCATCAGCCTCTTCTCTGCACTCTCAATTTCACCTTCATCCTTTCCTTTCACTCCTCTGGGCCTTTGCCCCTGTAGTTTCCTCCATCTAGAATGTTCTTTCTCCACCTCAGCTGCAATCCAGCGTGTCCTCCCAGGCCTCAGCGCCCCGGTTGTCCCTGCCCTCCTCAGCGCTTCTCTGCCCCTTCTTCTGTGGGTTTCCATGGCACTACCCCACCCCTCCTCCCTCATGGCTTGGTGTCAGGGTTGTCTGTGGATGAATCCTACTGGAAAGGGTCTCGCCCACCATCGCTCGTCACAGGGCGGCGGAGGAAGGGGACCGCTGACTCTAGGCACCTACTGAATAGGCCGGAACTGGGCCCTCAAGATGCCTCATTGCCTTGCATTTTTCCACTATCCTACAACTTGGTATAAACAATCCCATTTTGCAGATAAATAAACCGAGGCTCAGAGAAACTGTGTGACTTGCTCACATCACCCCCAGGGTCCACGGTGGAGGTGGGGCTAGACTCTGGGTCTGCTTGAGGGCAAAGCCCAGCCACTGCCTAGTAAACTGTCTACAACGGTGCCATTGAGTCACCTTTGGCTCCCACAATTTCCAGCCCCTGATCCCTCCCCTGAATCCCTTGGAGGCATCCAACTCCGACATCTCCCCTTAGGAAGGCTACACGATGACCTGTGTCTTCTGGAAGGAGGGAGCCAGCAAGCACTACTGGGGTGTCTGGAGCCCTGAGGGCTGTCGCACGGAGAAGCCCTCAAATTCCCAGGTGATCTGCCGCTGCAACCACCTCAGCTACTTTGCTGTTCTCATGGTACGTGTGCATGCAGCCTGGGGCCGGCGGTCAGAGCTGCAGAAGGCCCTGTGCTCAGGACAGAGAAACAGGGCCAAGGCTAGTGTAGGGAACAGAAAACCCAACCTGAAACAGGCTCACAGGGACAAAAAAGAAACTTACGTGTTTATGTTCCCGAAAAGGCTGGGTTAGGCTTCAGGCATGGCTTGATTCGGGGGCTCCATATCAGCTAGACAGGCCTCCTTTCCTACTAGCTTTTAGGCCAGTAGAATGAGAGCTTCTCTGACCCAATCCCGTCCGCCAGAATCTTGCAATTGAGTCCCACCAAGCCTAGAGTGTGTCACATATGTACCCCTTAACCAATCACTGTGGGCGGGACATGGGAGGGCTCTGGCAGGCCGGGAGGGGTACCCCTGTGCACACACAGTGGGAGGCGTGGTGGGCCCACCCTTGTGTACAGACAGTGAGGGAAGACGGGCTCTCACAGAGGAAGGGAAGTTGGGAGTTGGGAGGAAGGAAAAGCCACTGTGTCTGCCATGTCTATTTGAGCCAGGGCCATGGTGAGGATTGTGGGGCAGGGGGGCTTGGAACTGGGGGCTTGGAAGGTCTCTCCCGATTGAGCCTGGGGGAGGCATTTCCATGCGTCTGGCCTCCAGCCCCCCTTCCCTCCCGCAGCAACTGTCCACAGCCCCGCTCCCTGCAGAGCTGCTGGAGCCTCTCACGTACATCTCCTTCGTGGGCTGCACTATCTCCATCATTGCTTCCCTGCTCACTATTCTGCTGTACTTATACACCAGGTACCCCCCGCCCTGCCCCGGTGCCAGGCCCGCCCGCCCGCGGCTGCTCAGCGCTCCTTTTTCCTTCCCACTTTGTCCGCCAGAGTGGGAAGGGCTTCTCAAGGGGGCAGGGGCTGCGAGGCAGGAGATGTGTGTCCCCGTCCACGTGTGTCTGTGAGCCCAGTGGGTGGTGCTGCCTGGGTGATGTCCCCAGGCCACCAAGGGCAATGCTCCCCACCTCAGGAAGAAGGGTGACTCCCTAACATGCATCCACATGAACCTGCAAGCCTCCGTGCTGCTCCTGAATGTCGCCTTCCTGCTGAGCCCCACAATGGCCGTGCCTTCGGTGCCCGGGGCCGCATGCATAGGCCTGGCCGCCATCCTGCACTACGCGCTGCTTAGCTGCCTCACCTGGACGGCCATCGAGGGCTTCAACCTCTACCTTCTCCTGGTGCGTGTCTACAACATCTACATCCGAAGATACGTGCTCAAGCTCTGCGCCGTGGGCTGGGGTAAGCCCGTCTCCCTCTTCTCTTGCTCCCTGAGACTTCCAGCTGGACGGGGCGCCTGCCCCTGCCTGGCCTTCCCTTTCTCTTCCTCCTCCTCTCAGTGACCACTGCCACGGCCACGGGTCATCGTCTCTGCCAACGACCACCACCGCTTCCTACATTACTGTTACTGCTGCCACCTCCTCACTCTCTACCACCGTCACCTCCACCGCCACCACCTTTGCCCCCATAACCGCCTCTGCCTCCACCACCATCGCCTCTGCCACCACCTCCTGGTCACCACCGTCCTCTCATCCTTGTCTTCACCGCTACCTGTGGCACCACTGTCATTGTTGTCCCCAGGGCCCCCCTCACCCCCTCTCTCTGTTCCTCATCTGTTCTCCAGCCCTCTCTCCCATTAGCTCCCAGCCACCACCTCCCCAGTGTGACCACTACTGCTGCCACTAGGGTCCCATCCCAGAGATGTCACTCACATCACCTTGGAGAACAGCCTTCTCAAAGGCTAATCGCTCTGAGGTTGGACCACGTGACAGGGCCTGGGGGCTCAGAACAGTCTCTTTTCCCACCCTGTCCCTTTGCCCAATGGAATTCTGTTTCAGAGCCCTAGGGACCCACAACTGGCCTGTCCCTGGGGTCTCCTGACAGATGCCGGGCCTCTGTCCCCTCCGCAGGGGTCCCAGCCTTCCTGGTCCTGCTCCTCCTGGCCGTGAAGAAGTCAGTTTACGGGCGTCACACGATCCAGCTCTCTGGCAGCCTGGGGAACAGCACGGGCTCCCTGAACGTGTCCATGTGAGTGCACGCCTGGCGGCGGGCTCCCGGCCCTGGCAAGGGTGGCTTCCGGGGGGGCTTTGTCACAGCCCTTTCTGCTGGGCCCGATAGTCTCCTGCGGGGCAGGCTGGAGTTCCATGTCAGCTGATTTTAGGAAGCCGTGGCCTGGACTCCGGCGCCCATTCACGGGCCTCCAAGGCCTTAGCCTCCTGGTAACACGCCGCTGCCGGCCGGCCTCCACCAGCTCTCGGGCTCTGTGGTGGGGCTGGGCCTGACCCTGAGCGTGCTCCTGTCCCACCGCTGCGCATCAGGCCCCTCTGACCTGTGCCTGCCCTGGCAGGGACAGAGCCCAAGTCCCACTCAGAGCGAGGGGGCTGGGCCGGCCCAGGGATGGGGCTTAGGCACATGTAGGGGGAGGGGCAAGGAGAGGCGGTGGACTCCGAGGGCCTGGGGGACAGACTCTGTGGCCCCTTTCTGTGCCCTAGGACACCAACCCTCTGCGTCTCTAACAGCCGATGCAGAGAGAAAGCTTCCCAAACCTCTGTTGACCCCTTTTCCTTGCTCAGCTGACACAAGGTCGCTGAGGGCTGACTCTGGCGGACCTTGTGTATTTGCATTTAATCCTCAGGACAAAAAGCAGGGTTCTACTGCCAGCCCTTGTTTACAGAGGGGGAAAGTGAGGCACAGGCAGCTTAAGAACCTTGTCCAAGGAGACCCAGCTGATCAATGGCAGAGCTGGCCCCCAACCACTGTCCCCCTTGGCTTCCTGAAGCGAGGGCTCTAGGCCGAGTGGGGCCGAGGAGAGGCTGATTCCTCTACTTGTGACGGCCGGGCTGGCTGTTCAGAGGACATGTGACTTAGGACTCTTAATACCTGTATTTTATGATATGTGATTTGGACAAAAGAGCCACTTCTATGGGACAGGGGGCCCCTTAACACTGGGCTGTCAGAGAACCTCACCCTAAGAACCAGCTTCTCACAATCTTCATCGCCTCTCCCTCTCACCGCTTACCCTGGACTTTGTGACTTTCACTCCGCTGCATTTAAAAAACTCTCCCTACATACATATGTGTTCTTTAAATTATTTTTAAATGTTAATGTCTTTTTTAATTGAGATATGAGTGACATATGACATCATATTAGTTTCAGCTATACAGAATAATGATTCTATATTTGCATATATTGCGAAATGATCGTGACAATAAGTCTAGTTAATATTCATCACCGTACTTAGTTATTGAATTTTTTTTTCTTGTGATGAGAACTTTTAAGATCTATTCTCTCAGCAACTTTCTTTTTTTTTTTTTTTAAGATTTTATTCCTTTATTTTCAGAGAGAGGGGTAAGTGAGAGAGATGGAGAGGGAGACAAACATCAATGTGTGGTTTCCTTTTGCACGCTCCCCACCGGGGACCCAGCCTGCAACCCAGGCATGCGTCCTGACTGGGAACTGAACAGGCGACACTTTGCTTCGCAGGCCGGTGCTCAATCCACTGAGCCACACCAGCCAGGGCTAAAAAACTCTTGAAAATAACTCCAGTGCCCACGGACCAGACACTGGGTTAATAAATGTGGTTACCGGGCCATGAGAGGGAATGATCCATGACCACACTCATGAACTTGGATGAAGCCCCAAAATAATGTTCAAGGACCCTTGTGACTGCAGTGGCAGGAGCCTGAGCAGGTGACTGTGACCGTTAGGGGCACAGGCTCTGGACTGTGGGGCTTCAAGTCCCACTTTTGCCTTTTGCTGGTGTGTGTTCCTAAGCCAGAGCCTCAGTTTCCTCATCTGTAGGATGGGGAGGATCACGTACCAGCCCCACAGGGTCATCATGAGAACTGAATGGACTAATCTGCCCAAAGCATGTGACACAGTGTCCGTCAGGGTAGAAGGCAACACCGGTCATGAAGGTGTCTTGGGGAGGCAAAGGGCTGGAAAGGAGGCTTATGGGGGCTGCAGATAGGGGGGCCGAGGTGGCAGGTGGGTCCTATCATGGTGGCCTGGCTGGAAAGCTGGGCCCAGGACTTCGCCCCTTGTCCAGTCAGACAAGACATAAGAGGTCTGGGCTGGGAGACCAAACCAGGCTCGAGAGGCGGTCCCCAGGCCCAGGGCCTGCAGCTTCCCCCAGTCTGGCCCCCCGAACCCTGACCCTTCGCCCCTCCCCTGCAGGTGCTGGGTGCAGAGCCCTGTGGTACACAGGGCCCTGGTCTTAGGCTATGGTGGCCTCACGTCCCTTTTCAACCTGGTGGTGCTGGCCTGGGCACTGCGGGTCCTGCACACACTGAAGGCTCGATCGAAGGCACCAGGCACCCGAGCCTGCAGGGACACTGTCACCGTGCTGGGCCTCACCATGCTACTGGGCACCACCTGGACCTTGGCCTTCTTCTCCTTCAGCATCTTCCGGCTGCCTCAGCACTTCCTCTTCACCATCTTCAACTCACTCTACGGTGGGTCTTGTGGGTGGTCTGGAGGAAGCCCTGGGGGGTCGTGCACACCTGCTGAGAAGCTCAGGCCGGGGGTGGGGTCAGGAGCTGACAGCTAGCCCCCTGACCAGCTGGGTAGGGGCTGCCTCCTCCTGGAGGATGAGGGGCTGCCTTGTAATCTGCACCCTCTGGGCTCTCAGTGGCCGGGTCCTCCTGCCTCTACGCTCTGCCCCTTCTGGCCTCCAACAGTAGGGCATTCTGAGAATTACTCCTGGGCTTCAGAGAAGCCCAACTCTCTCTGACAAGGAGGCCCCCCAATTCTGGGAAAGGCCCCAGGATGCCCCCATGACGCTCTCACGGACCAGCCTTTTGCTCGCAGGTTTCTTCCTCTTCCTGTGGTTCTGCTTCCAGAGGTGTTACTCCAGAGAGGAGGCGGAGGCAGGGGCAGAGGCGGAGATGGAGGGGTTCAGCTCCTCCAAGATGACACAGTAGCCTGGACCTCTCGGCCTGGAGCCCCCAGCCTCTCTGGCTGCGTGCACCCCGAGGCCCTGGCTTCCACCAGAGAAGATGGCAGGCCAGCTGCTGTACTCCAGGGATGCGGTGCCCTCTAGGGGGCGTTTCACCACCATGGCTTCCCCGGGGCCATAGGGAAATGCCCAGAATGCCCTTGGCATTCTACTCTGGGGCAGGTCTACCCCCACCAGGGGACAGCAAACTCGGCCCTGGTGCTTGGGCCCAGCTGGCCAGGCCGATGGACAGAGCGCTGGCCTGGGATCAGGAGGCCACGTTTCGAGGCCTGGCTCTGAGGATGACTGTAGGACTTGGGGCTTGTCAGTTCTCATAGACCGTCAGTTTCCACATCCGACATGAGTCACATGGCTCTGGTCCTGCATAGCCTAAGAGTTTTGTGAAGACTGGATAAGGCTGGAAGGAAGAGGGCCATAGTGAGCCCCATTAACGCCACCTGCCTGCTGGGGTCAGGGTCCCAGGCAGCCTGCTGGGCCCTACCACCTTCCTCCTGGCCACGTCCTGGCCCAGGGCCAGGGCTTAGGGACCCACTCACTGTCTGAGACCTTACTTGCCTATGCCCAAAGACTTTCTTCCTTTAACCGCCCCCCCAAAGCTGTGGTGACCCCAACGCCATGCCCACTCTCCTCAACGATCAGACAGCCCGGTCCTTCCCAGAGGCTCCTTCTCCCTCCAGTGCTCTCAAGTCTCCCTAGGCCATTTAGACAGGGGCCGGAGCCACAGGGCTTCCAGGGGTTAGGAGGGGAATGTCTCTTTCCCCTACACCTGAGCCAGATGGGCCCCAATGACTCGGTTATTGGACGATTGGGTAGAACTGAGTTTCCCTTTAGGCGTGAGGGTATGGATTCTAAATCCAAGCCCTGGCCGCAGTTGCCCAGAATCACCATTGCCCTCGACCTGTATGTCAGACCAAGCGGGAAAATCATGAAGCCAGAGCCTTTCCCAGGATGCACACCAGGGGGCGCTGTTGGCTTTTGCTCAGAGGCGATTGGCAACAAAACTGCACCGCGTCTGGAAATGCTGAGATCACCTGTCTGTGAAGATGACACACCAGAGGGGAGAGGTCCTGCTTCCAGGATTGCGCCTGCTGAGTGACCAGGAGGAGGAATGTCCGCACTGTTCACACAGCTATTTGTCTCTTTACCAAACACAGCGGCCCGCTCTGGCTCTTGGGGTCTTGTGCTCTGGGCTTTCCTGGCCCTAGCGCAGTGAGCCGGTATAGGCTCCAAGCTGCCAGACAAACTGTAATGACCTTGAATGGCACAGGGAAGGAATTAGAGCTGGAGCCAGACTGCACAGGCTCAAAGGCCAGCTCTGCCACTTGCTAACTCAGTGACTGTGGATAAGCCACTCAATCTTTTTGTACCTTAACTTTCCCACCTGTAAATAGGGGTACAGTAGGACTCACTTTGGAGGTTAAATAAAATAATCTATATGAAGATTAAGTGCTCAACAAATGGTTATTATTGTTATCGTGGTATTTTTGCTATTATTACTAACAGCGTCAGAGGAGCCTCTGAGGCCAGCCTGTCTAAGCCCCGGGCCCAGGTCTGCGCATCCTCACAGGCCCAGCCGCCCGCTGGGCACCTGGCCACCTCCTCCGCCTCTCCCCAGAGCGGCCTATGCTCTATAGTCTAGCTGGCCTTTTGTTATTTTAGGAACATTCCCCACACAACGCTGCCTGCGTGCTGTTGCCACATGTCCCGCACCCTTCGATCCCCTGACTCCTGCTCTATTTAAATACCCGATGGCTCCTGTATCGCTTCTTCCGTGGAACCTCTCCAAGTGCCCCGCAGAGAAGGTGTCTTTCCCACTCCGACTCCAAGCAGAGCGTACCCCCACTTCTATCAGAGTGATGGGAGTCCCCCAGTTTAGGTTTAGCCCAGCCTTGACTTGGTCCAGGCTCCCCAGACCTTGGAGTGGTTCCTATTCCAATCAGGGTGCGAAGGGATCATGGGAACTTCCAGCCCCTCTCTAGGGCGGTACCGGGGCACAGTGACCCAGGCACCTGGGCAGCCCAGTGAAACAGGACCTTGCCTGGGACCTCCCTTTTCACCCCCAGTCGGGGCCTGGCTTCCTAGACCCTGCCAAGGGCTACTCAAGAGAGGATGTGGCCGTGGCGGCTCAGAGTGGGTCCGGTGGTTCCAGGAAATGGTCCCAGGCATGTGGTCCTGAGACCCACTGGGGTCCGGGCTCTGGGATGCGGCCACTTCCTGGAAATTCTCCACCGGATGCGGGGGCAGGGATGAGTGAATTTTATTGTGTGTAAATTTACTTCAATAAAACTGACTTTAAAAAATGATAGAATAAAGAAAAACCGACAAATCTACCATCAACATGGGATATTTCAAATGCTTCTCAATTACTGATAGCAAAGCTGGAAAATGTTGACCCGTATATAGATTTGAACAACGTGAGTACAAAGCTTGATCTAATGGACATTAATTGAATTCTGTGTCCTGCAGTCAGATTGTTCTCAAGCACTTATGGACCATTTAAAAAAATTGATTGCATACTGGCTTTGAAAGCAAGCTTCCAAAAATTTCAACAATAGATATTATACAGAATACGTTTTTTGATCTCAATGCAATGAAGTTAGATAGGAATAACAAAAATATAATTAAACCCCCCCTGTATATTTAGAAATATGTCACAGGGATAAACCAATTGACCAAAGAACAGAAAGGAGAGTCTGGAAACAGACAGAGGAATATCTGAGAGTGGAGCTTGCAGACCAGCAGGCCGGCGGGACACTTGGGTACATGAAGCAGGTCAAGTCCTCTCCTACGAGGGAAAAAATGTGCAGTTGAATCACTGCTTTACAGTGTATTCACGAAGCAGGCAGTGAAAGCATAGTGCAATGTATGAACAAACTTGGGGGTGCAAACATGGCACATTTCATTATTAATTTTTATATCACATTAGACTCTCACACCTTTCACCCCCTGCAGGAGCAGGACGTTCAGTTTGTCATTTGCAGAGGAGGCCCTTGAGTTAAATGACCATCTGGGAGACTTAAATTTCTCCTGGAAGGAATCCGGGGAAAGGGCCTTCGGTTCAGCCTCAGCCCTTCACGGTCACTGCTGCTGCCCTTGTTCTCAAACCCATGGGGTCTCTGATGCTGGCTCTGGCTCTTGCCCTACCCCTCCCAAGGCTTCCTGGTTTCGGGGGAAGCTTCGCTGAGACACCTCAGGCTTTCCTTCCAGCTGTCCCCAACAGTGGGAACCTCTGGTCTCAGGCAAGTCCTGGCTCTGTCCCCACAGCCCAGGCCCCCCGGGCTGCAGAAACAAAAACTTCCCCAGAGCAGGCGCCCGGAGCCCAGAGCCTGGAGCCCGGAGTCTGTGGGTTGGTGATTTCCTTAGGCGGAGGTGTTAAGTCAGGGTGAGGGGTGTAACCCTGCCCAGCAGGAAGGTTTCTTCCCCCAAGGGGCTTCTAGCTGAGACCTCGTGTTGCACAGGGTTGGACAGGGGAACAGGGAGGGGAAAAGTGTTTGGGGTGGAAGCTTGGGGTTGGGAGGTGAAGAGAGAGAAAGAGAGAGAGAGAGAGCAAGAGCAAGCTAGTGGGCTCGGTGGGCAGGGTGGCGGTGGGAGGGACAAGTGAGAGAACCGCAGGGTAAGGGGGGTGGAGGGAGGGGGGCGACTCTGAGAGGTGCCGGGAGGGGGACCCTCCACAGGCGGGATGCCAGACTGAACATCAGGTTGGAGGGGGGAGTCATCAAAGCCGGTACTTGGGGTCTTGGGTAGGTGGGGTGACTTGTCTCTAACTTGGGTGGGGAGCCCAAGAAGAAAGGACAAGTGGCGTGTGTGTGTGTGTGTGTCAGTTTTACTTATGTAATTGTTGACTATTACACATTAAAAAGATTGTGAACTATAGAGAACATACAGGATATACACACAATTTAACAACAATTAGAAAGCAAATCCCCAAGTGACCACCACCCAGAAGTCTCCAGGCCTCCGCGCCACGCCTCCCCGCGCTGGAGAGGGAAGCGTCCTGGCTTGTAGAGGAACCGCTTCCTCACTTTTGATAGTTTTACCACTTGAAGCTGCATCACTACACAATAGAGGTCTGGTTTTGCCTGTTTTGGAAGATGGTACAATATGAACAGAACCCCCTCCTTTCAACTCACCGTTCTGTGTGCTGGAGTCATCTGGGTTGTTGCATGTAGATACCGTGTATCTGTGTTCATTGCTCTATGCTCTTCCCGGCAGGACCGCCCTGCAAGCTGCGAGCCCATTTTCCTGCTGAGGGCCGTTTGGGACATTCTGCAAGTTGGGCTGCTCTTGTCAGCAATGCTCCAGCAGTACTCACCTATGTAAGGCGTGGTGCATATGTATATATATGGTTCTCTCCAAGCTATATGTGCAGGAGATTTTCTGGGCTATAGGTGGTAGGTATCTTCAACTTTCCTGGATGTTGCCAGTTCTCTGAAGCAGTTAAATAAAGCTGGAGTCCCACCCAGACTGGGCAACTGTTCCCATGACTCCCTGGTTCCACACTTGGCACTGCTAATTTTTAGTAATCTGTTGAGTGTGCAGTGGGATCTCATTGTTGCATTTGTAAGTTGCATTTCCAAGGCAATTGACGAGATCGAGCCCCTCTTCGTGTATATATATTGGCCAGTTGGATTTCCTCTTATTTTTTTTTTGAAAGTGCCTATTCAAATCTTTTGCCTGTTTTCTATTGGGTTGTTTGTCTTTGTGACAGATGCTTCTGGTGCCAGTGTCGCTCTGAGTTCAGCCACTGTGTAGGACAAACCACCAGTGTCAGAGAGCCTGGTTTTCCTCATCCTACCCCCGGGGCTTCCCCAACATTGTGGAAAAGACCCGAACGGGGGTGCTGGCTGATGGGAAGTCGGCAATCCAGCTTCCCGTCCTTCAGGGCAACAATTCTGGAGCCCCTGAGGTCATGGAGACCTCACTGCCTTCAGCGGCAACCTTGATAACGCCCTTCTATTGGGGCAT